AATTGTACGTACTAAAACAAAAATAAACAAGGTAACTAAAGATTGTCCTAGAAGTTGGCAACCTAAATCAGCTGCTCATTGCCAGCCTGATGTACCTGCTACTGTAACTTCTCATACCTTTACCAGGAAAACTCATAATCCTGAATCTGTCTCTGTGGCTAGACAGAAATCTGATATCGAGAGGAAAAAAGTTAAATGTACCTATTGTAACAGAAAAGGACATGCTAGAGAGTATTGCTATAAGTTAGAAAGAGATACGAGAAGCAGTCATGCGGCTGGCGCCCCCACACAAGTCGTATCCTCTTCAGAGCAACAAAGGCACCAAAATCCTAGTAATACCTCTGATCCTACTGTTTTAGATAATATTACTCAGGACAGATGACTAGCGTCAGAAAGTGTATCTGACGAAAAGATTCGTCCAGCGATGAGTCCTTACTTTTCGAGAGGTAAAGTAGGATTTGACGAATCACATCTAACTGAGATAATTTCTTTCGGGAGACATGGCAGTTATCTCACGTTATTAAGAGAAGATGTACTGCCCATAACTGATGATACCTATTGCAAGATAGATGTATTGTTAGAAACCTATGGAGGGGCTGTTATAAAAGTACCTCTTCACAAGGTATACATTGAAATAAGCTATTATACTGGTCATATTTCATTGGGTATATCCAGTGGTGTATTTCCCATCAGGTAAGTGGACTTGTTGATAGGGAACGATATCCTTCATGCTGGTATATGTAAAGAACCACTTGTGATTGATAATAACACTGATGATAATTATGCCATTGAAGCTTGTAGAGAGAAGCCTATTTTATTTCGTCTCAGCGCAATTACTAGAGCTATGTCAAAGATACAACAACCATCCTTGTCTCCTGTTGAGTTAGTGGATGACAATGATTTGGGCTTGAATATGTTGTTTAGTGACGCTCTGCGCCCAGGGTCATTAACACCAACTCCCCCCGGTCATCAACCTAGTCAGGACACACCTGACGTTAAATTTCTAACTCATGATGATTTAATCAAGGATCAGTTTGTTGATCAGTCACTGGAAAGACTGAGAGATATAGCAGTTACTGAGAGTGAAGCAAAGGATCTCGATAATTGTTACTATTATAGTAACGGTGTACTGATGGAGAAAAATACATGTAAGTTGTCAGCTGATAGTGTTTCCACCACAGTCAAGCATCTCGTAGTGTTACCAGTTGCATTTCGTGAACAAGCCATTGATTTTGCTCACAATAGTCCCATAGGAAGACATTTGGGTGTCAAGAAGACACTCGGTAAATTGGCAAAACATTTTACTTGGCCTAAGATGAAGGAAACAGTAGCTGATGATGTGCGACGTTGCCACGTGTGTCAAGTGACAGGCAAGCCAGCACACACACCTCCACCTACACCTCTCACTGTGTTCACTAGTAGCAAAGTTCAGTTCATCTGGACTAGTGATGGTTCAGATTTGTTCAGAAGGTTGAAGCATCTGCTTCCTCTGCTCCAGTGTTGAGTCCTAATTTCAATCTTCCTTTCTTTTTGCATATACATGTAGATGCGAGTGGCTATGCAGTGGGTGTTGTGCTGCTCCAACAGTCAACATCCACTGACATTCTCCATCCTATATGTTACTATTCATCTAAGCTTAAACAACACCAGAAAAATTATGCCACCATTGAGAATGAGGCTCTAGCTCTTGTGGTGTCCTTAGAACATTTTGACAAGTATTTGGGCACTTCCCCATTTAAAATTTGCGTAATTTTATGCCCAAATACCTTTTGTTACTTGCTATGTCAAATTCAGTAAAGTAACGTAATCCCTCCAGCCCATATTAACTATATACAGTGGACCCCCGCTTAACGATCACCTCCCAATGCGACCAGTTATGTAAGTGTATTTATGTAAGTGCGTTTGTACGTGTATGTTTGGGGGTCTGAAATGGACTAATCTACTTCACAATATTCCTTATGGGAACAAATTCGGTCAGTACTGGCACCTGAACATACTTCTGGAATGAAAAAATATCGTTATCCGGGGGTCCACTGTATACTCATGTCTAATTATTATATTTATATATTCACAGTACTGATATGTGTGAGAAGGAGACATAAGCCGAGTGATGAGTGGGTAGTGTGGTGTGGGCGATGTACTGCGTGACGCAACACTGTCCTGCCGCAGACCCCCCCCTCACTACTCACCTTAAGCTGTTTCATACTCAGATGTCCATACTGCCTCGCATTCCACAACCACTATTTAAGAGTGGAATGCTGTCTCCTGTCTATAGCACAAGACTATTATGCTTGTCTATGCTATCCTGTCTCTACACTGATGTACATAACCACGAGTATGCAGAGATACGATACTGTGTACTGCCCTAGTACTAGGGGCATATCTTATTGTATGGACGCTGTGAAATTATAGAGGTGCTTGGCACAAGAGTGACTCTGAATGTTTATATTATATTGTTAGTAATGTAACCTGAGTAATCAGTAATGTGAAAGACATTAATGCAACTCCTAGTGCGGCCGTTTGTCGTGTTGGGGGGTGTTGCAACCCCTGAATGGGGTGCAATGATTAATATGTATATATATATAATTATTACCTTTTCATATAATTTTATATTGCTTGTATTTGCGATAATAGCTAAATCGTAAATGTATTGCTTTATATTGTTATTTGACTTAGCTTCCTTTGGTTAGGTAGGATGTAACATATTATGTGCTCAGTTCAAGTTTTGATTGTCTAACTACTGTAATTATCGCTTGTGGCTCGTTAGACTGCCGGCTTCTGTTTCTGAGCTGCAGCTGTCCACGGAGCTATCACGTGATCGAGGGAGGGGGTGTCTGTCTCATTATTCTTGTTAGTTCTGTAGAACTGTTCACAGAACATTGTATAGACTTGGTGATTTTCGACGTTGTACTGAGGTTGTGTGGAAATATAAACACAAATGCAGTATAATGTGATCCTTTATTGACGTGTCAATAAAGAATCACATTATACTGCATTTGTGTTTATATTTCCATTGTGTCGGTATTTTATACCATTTATTTCCACTGAGGTTGTGTGTCGCACAGACACTCTGAGCGACTCAGGTCCTGAGCTGTAGCTTCTGACCTAACTTGTACTGGTTTCTGTGTACTGTCACAGTCGGGATTTTCTTATGCTGAACTTAGATTCAGTAGTATGGGAATTTTGTGACTTTTGTGGAGGATCTGCAGATGGTCCCTACTTAGTGTCTTTATATTATCTCCTTGTTCCTGATTCTGTGTCGCAGTTGCTTGCTATATTGCTATTGGGCTTAGCGTTCTTTTTATTGTTCAAGCAGACTGTTCTGATTGCCAGTTGATTAAGAAGTTAGTTTATTTGAGGACTTTGTCAGTCACTTGTTTAAGTCTAGTCGAGTCGTGAGACATAGCGAACCACTTAGAGCACTTATACACATACACACAAGCTTACTTGTACATATTTGTAATATCTTATTAAATGTTAATGTACCAGACGGTACTTAAGAATTATAAATGTGATATGTGCTTTCAGCACAATACTATTGTATACGAGAGAAGTGATATTATTTTAATTACTGTGATTAATTTAATTTAATTTGATATACGCCTAGACAACTTAATGACTAATAAATTTATTAAATTTTAATTTATCTAGTTAGTAGCCTACCAGTTGTAATCCTGAAGCACTATTGAATCATACTGAATTCTAATGGATAATCGGGCAAGGATACTGACTAATTGTTACGAAAGCCCAGTAACAGGCTGGATGCTAGAAGGGCAGTCCTTTCTAGTATTCACTGGAGATCTCTAAGCTTTTAGAATCGCGTTTTTTGTAACACTCTCCATATACTCTACTCTTCTTATAACGCTTCTGCTTTGTAAAAACCTCTCATAAGCTAACTTTTTCTCTTTTATCACACCCTTTACTTCATCATTCCACCAATCACTCCTCTTTCCTCCTGCACCCACCCTCCTATAACCACAAACTTCTGCCCCACATTCTAATACTGCATTTTTAAAACTATTCCAACCCTCTTCAACCCGTCCACTACTCATACTTGCACCAGCCCACCTTTCTGCCAATAGTTGCTTATATCTCACCCGAACTTCCTCCTCCCTTAGTTTATACACTTTCACCTCCCTCTTGCTTGTTGCCATTTTTCTCTTTTCCCATCTACCTCTTACTCTAACTGTAGCTACAACTAAATATTGATCCGATATATCAGTTGCCCCTCTATAAACATGTACATCCTGGAGCCTACCCATCAACCTTTTATCCACCAATACATAATCTAACAAACTACTTTCGTTACGTGCTATATCATACCTTGTATATTTATTTATCCTCTTCTTCATAAAATATGTATTACTTATTACCAGTAAACTTATTCCCCTATAATTTTTACAATTTCTTTTGTCCCTCTTCCTTTTATATAAAGGAACTATACACACTGCCAATCCCTAGGTACCTTCCCATCTTTCATACATTTATTGAACAAAAATACTGATCACCCCAACACTATCTTCCCCTGCTTTTAACATTTTTATCATGATACTGTCAGTTCCAGCTGCTTTACCCCCTTTCATTCTACTTAATGCCTTGTGCACCTCCCCCACACTCACATCTGGCTCTTCTTCGCTCCTAAAAGATGTTATACCTCCCTGGCCAGTGCATGAAATTATTGCCTCTCTTATGGGAATATATGATGAAAGTTGGTGTAATAAAGTAGTTGCTGACGAAAAGTCCAAGAGGGAGTCTGCGTCAAAGTGGCTGTCAGTAAGGAGGTCAGATAAAATAAGTGCGTCAGCATGGTAATGACGGTGGAGGTCAATTTTGTGTGTCCGTAACCCATGCAAGTCATAAAAGGCGCCTAAAATGGCAGGAGCAAGAGGCCAGTAACACCTGCTACTGTATAAATTACTTAATGCAAAATGAAGAAAAATTTGATTCTTCTTTTTCAGGTCACCTGCCTTGACAGGAGACAACAGCTGTATTAATAAAAATTATTTACTTAATTATTTATTTATATTGCATTATACAGGAATATGAACAATTTTATTAAAAGAACATTACTAATTAATTTAAAAAAATACATAGAATTTACAATAAAAACAATGAACAATAACTACTGTCACTAGTGCTGAAATATCTACTGTAGATAACTATCACTAGTGCTGAAATATCTACCGCAGATACTTTATCTACTATCACTAGTGCTGAAATATCTACTGCAGATACTTTATCTACTAGTGCTTAACCATCTTCAAAAAATTCCTTAACTTTTACAAGTATATTAACAGCTACAGTAGATAATTTAACCACCATTACAAGTGCTAAAATATCTTAAAATATCAGGTAGCTGTAGATTACTTAACTACTTTTACAAGTGTTTAAATATCTACAGTAAATACATTAACTACAGGTGTTTAAATATATGAAGTAGATATATTTACAATAGATATTTTAACTAAGTAAATATTTTAACTACAAATGTTGATTTTAACTAAGGAGATATTTTAACAAGTATTTAAATATTTACAGTAGATATTATAACTACGAGTGCAAATGAGAGACGGATCAGTGTAGTGAGGCTCGACCCCTGTAGAGAGATGCAGGCAACACAAACATGTTGGAATATATAGATCTGGTATAGCCTCTAGGGTGGAGCTCCAGCTCTCGGACCCACCCCCTAGACTTTCTTTGTTACCTCTGGGACGGATTGGGGTCTACTCCATGTCTACTCCCACAGGGTGGACCTGGACCAGGCTTGTGCTTGCTTGGTTCACCAGGCTTTTGCTGCTGGTGGCCTGGTGGTCCATATATCCACCACAGCCTGGTTGATCCGGCACCTGGTGGAGGTATTTGTCGAGAAGTGCCATCTGTGGTTGAGTCTGTGGTTGAAAACTGACTCTGGTACAGTCAGCGAAGTGATGGTTCGTTCTGGGTTATGAGATGACAGAGTTACTGGTTCAGGAGTGGCTTGGATGAGTTACTGGTTAACTGAAGGCACTCACACAGTGCCATTCACACAGAGTGCCAGACATTACAGTGCCACTCACACAGTGCCAGACACTAGTAGTGCCAAATATTTCACAGTACCACTTACAGAGTGCCACTCACACAGTGCCAAATACTCACACAAAGTGCCAGACACTCACAGAGTGTGCTCAGGCATGGCATTCTGCTCAGCCAGATAGGCTTGAAACTTTTTAAGTCCCAGCTTTGCTGCTGCAATCTTGGCTGTCCTATAATTCTTGCCCTTCCCGTACATGTCTGGTAAGCCCTCAATCTGTTAGCAAGAAATATACACAACACATTAATGTACAATAACATTATAGACAAAAATACTCATTTCGCGCAAAATTGATGGTAATAAGACTGCACTTTGTTGTTCCATGATAACATGTGCACTTAGTTGCCCATGAAAATTGGGACTTAGTTGCTACCCGATACATGTGCACTTTGTTTCTACCATGATACAGTGCACTTTGTTGTACCCGAACATGTGCACTTAGTTGCTACCCTGTACATATGCCTTAGTTGCTCCCTGTACATTTTAATTAGTTGTACCATGATAATTGCACTTAGTTCTACCAGATACATGTGACTAGCTGCTACCTGACACATGGCCTTACTGCTACCATGATACATTGCACTTAGTTTCTACCCGATCATGTGCACTTTGTTGCACCATGATACATGGCACTTAGTTGCACCTGATAATGTGCACTTAGTGCAAACCCGAACATGTGCATTTAGTTGCTACCATGATACATGTGCACTTAGTTGCTACCATGATACATGTGCACTTAGTTGCTACCATGATACATGTGCACTTAGTTGCTACCATGATACATGTGCACTTAGTTGCTACCATGATACATGTGCACTTAGTTGCACCTTAAACAGGGGCACAGTTGCTACCCTGTACAAGCACTTAGTTGTACCTGAACATGTGCCTTATTTCTACCATGATCATGTGCCTTTTGTTGCTACCATGAACATGTCACTTTTGCTGCTACCCTGACACGTGCCTTTGCGCTACCATGAAAAATGTGCCTTAAATTGCTACCATGAACTGGCACTTGTTGCTACCTGATACAGTGCACTTTGTTGCTACCATGACACATGTCATTATTTTTTACCAAGAACTTGCACTTAGTTGCTACCAGATACATGTTTCACTATTGCTACCAAACACATGTGCAAATTAGTTGCCCAAAGAAAAATGTGAAATTTGCGCACCCTTCATGTCACTTATTCTACCATTACATGTCACTTAGTTCTACCAGATACTGTGCACTTAGTTGCTACCATGAAACATGTGCACTTAGTTGCTACCATGATCATTGCACTTAGTTGTACCCTGTACTGTCACTTATTCACCATGACACAGTGCACTTGTTGCTACCAGAACAGGCACTTAGTTGCTACCATGACACAGTGCCCCAGTTTTCTACATATAATGTGATTAGTTGCTACCCGAACAGTGCACTTAGTTGCTACCATGATACAGTGCACTTATTGCTACCATGAACATGTGCCTTATTGCTACTGATACTGTCACTTTGTTTTCTACCAGATAATGGCACTTAGTTCTACCATGACACTTGGGACTTAGTTGCTACCAGATACTGGCCTTAGTTGCTCCATGACACTTTCCCCTTTGTTTCACCATGATACATGTGCACTTAGTTTGCACCAGATACATGTGCACTTAGTTTTCTACCATATACAGTGCACTTGTTGAACAGAACAGTCACTTAGTCTCCATAATACCAAAAATTACATCTTTTAAGGTACCCTGACATTACTACAAAGATATTAATCCATGATGGGATCATGAAAACTGTAAGGGTGGGGATAAAAAGACCTTCAAGGGGCATAATAAAGACCTTCAAGGTGGGGAAATAAAGACCCGTCGTGGATAATAAAAACCTGTCAAGGTGGCATAATTTAAAAACCCTTAGGTGGGAAATAAAGACCTGTCAAGGGGCATAATAAAGACTTGTCAAGGTGCATAATAAAGACCCTTTAATGGCATAATAAAGACCTGTCAAGGTGGGAAATAAGACCTTAAGGTGGCATAAAAAGACCTGTCAAGGTGGGATAATAAAAATTGTCGGTGGGTAATAAAGACCTGCAAGGTGGGATAATAAGACCTGCAAGGGGGATAAAAAACTTGTAGGGGGCATAATAAACCTGTCAAATGGCATAATAAAGACTTCTCAAGGGCATAATAAAGACCTGTCAAGGTGGCATAATAAAGACCTGTCAAGGGTGGCATAATAAAGACCTGTCAAGGGTGGCATAATAAAGACCTGTCAAGGGTGGCATAATAAAACCTGCAAGGGGCATAATAAAGACCTGTCAAGGGGGGCATAAAAAAACCCGTCAAGGGGGGCATAATAAACCCTGTCAAGGTGGGAAATAAAAACCTTCAAGGGGTGGCATAATAAAGACCTGTCAAGGGAGGCATAATAAAGAGTTTCAGGGTCTAAAAACCTTCAAGGGCATAATAAAGCCTGTCAAGGTGGCCCTAAAAGACCTGTCAAGGGTGGGATAATAAAGACCTTCAAGGGTGGATAAAAAGACCTGTCAAGGGTGGCATAAAAAACCTGCAAGGGGGCTAAAAAGACCTGTCAAGGGGCATAAAAAGACCTGTCAAGGGGATAAAAAGACCCGTCAAGGGTGGGGATAAAAAGACCTGTCAAAGGGGGGCATAATAAAGACCTTCAAGGTGGCAAAAAAAGACTTTCAAGGGTGGCTAAAAAGACCGCAAGGGGGGGCATATAAAAACCCGTCAAAGTGTCATAAAAAAAGATTTTCAATGGGATAATAAAGACTTTCAAGGGTGGCATAAAAGACCGTCAAGGGTGGGATAATAAAGCCTGTCAAGGGGGATAATAAAGCCTGTCAAGGGGGCAAATAAAATAAAGACCGTCCCGGGTGGGTAATAACCTTCAAGGTGGCATAATAAAGACCTGTCAAGGGGGGATAATAAAGCCTTCAAGGGGGGCATAATAAAGACCCGTCAAGGGGCACAATAAAGCCCTGCAAAGGGGGCATAATAAAGACCTGTCAAGGGTGGCTAATAAAAAACCTGTCAGGGGCATAAAAAAAACCCGTCAAGGGGTGGCTAATAAAGACCTGTCAAGGGGGGCAAATAAAGACCTGCAATAAGGCATAATAAAGGCCTGTCAGGTGCAAATAAAGACTTGTCAAAGGGGTTTCATAATAAAGACCGTCCCCAAAGGGGGGCATAATAAAGACCTCAAGGTGTCCCTAATAAACCTGTAAGGTGGGATATAAAGACTTGTCAAGGGGGCATAAAGCCCCTTTAAGGGGGGCATAAAAAAGACCTGTCAAGGTGGGATAATAAAGCCTGTCAAGGGGCATAATAAAGACCTTCAAGGGGGGCATAATAACCCCGTCAAGGTGGCTAATAAAGACCTGTCAAGGGGGGCAAATAAAACCTGTCAAGGTGGCATAATAAAGACCTGTCAAGGGTGGCATAATAAAGACCTATCAAGGGTGGCATAATAAAGACCTGTCAAGGTGGCATAATAAAGCCCTGTCAAGGTGGCATAATAAAGACTTGTCAAGGTGGCATAATAAAGACCTGTCAAGGTGGCATAAAAAAGACTTGTAGGGTGGATAAAAGACCCCGCAAAGGGGGGCAAATAAAGACCTGTCAAGGTGGGTTAATAAAGACCCCGTCAAGGGGGCATAATAAAGACCTGTCAAGGGGGGCAAAAACCCTTTAAGGTTCATAATAAAGCCTGTCAAGGGGCAAAAAAAGACCTGTCAAGGGGGGCTAAAAAGACCTTCAAGGGGGGCATAATAAAAACCTGTCAGGGGCTATAAAGCCCTGTCAAGGTGGCATAAAAAGATTTCAAGGTGGCATAATAAAGCCTTCAAGGGGGATAAAAAGACCTTCAAGGGGGGCATAAAAAAGACTTTCAAGGGTGGCTAATAAAGACCTGTCAAGGTGGGATAATAAACCCCGTCAAGGTGGCAAAATAAAGACTTGTCAAGGGGGCTAATAAAAATGTCAAGGTGGCATAAAAAAAGACCTTCAAGGTGGCATAAAAAGACCTGTCAAGGTGGCATAAAAAAGACTTTTAAGGGGCATATAAAGACCTGTCAAGGTGGCTAAAAAGACCGTCAAGGGGGGATAATAAAGACCTGTCAAGGGTGGCATAATAAAGACCCTTTAAGGGTGGCTAAAAAAAACCCGTCAAGGGGTGGCTAATAAAAACCCGTCAGGAGGCATAAAAACTGTCAAGGGTGGGAAATAAACCACTGCAAAGGGGGCATAAAAAAAACCTGCAAGGGGCTAATAAGACCTGTCAAGGGTGGCATAAAAAAAGAGTTTCAAAAGGGGGGCATAATAAAGACCTGTCAAGGGTGGCATAATAAAGACCTGTCAAGGTGGCATAATAAAGACCTGTCAAGGGTGGCATAATAAAGACCTGTCAAGGTGGCATAATAAAGACTTGTCAAGGGTGGCATAATAAAGACCTGTCAAGGGTGGCATAATAAAGACCTGTCAAGGTGTCATAATAAAGACTTGTCAAGGTGGGATAAAAGACTTTCAAGGGGGCATAATGAAATGTCAAGGGTGGGATAATAAGACCGTAAGGTGGATAATAAAGACCTGTCAAGGGGGCATAATAAAACCGCAAGGGGGGAAAAAAACCTGTCAAGGGGGCATAATAAAACCTGTCAAGGGTGCATAATAAAAACCTCTCAAAGGGGGGATAATAAAAACCCCGTCAAAAGGGGGCATAATAAAGCCCCCTTCAGGGGTTGCATAATAAAAACCTTCAAGGGGGGAAAAAAAACCTGTCAAGGGGCAAAATAAAGACCCGTCAAGGGGGGCAAAAAAAGCCTTTAAGGTGGGATAAAAAGCCTTCAATATGGGATAATAAAGACCTGTCAAGTGGATAATAAAGACTTTTCAAGGGGTTTCATAAAAAAGACCTGTCAAGGGGGGCATAATAAAGCCTTAAGGTGTCTAAAAAAGACCTCTCAAGGTGGCATAATAAAACTTTTCAGGGTGGCATAATAGACCTTCAAGGGGGGCATAAAAAAAGACCCGTCAAGGGGCATAAAAAAGACCCCCTCAAGGGGGGCATAATAAAGACCCGTCAAGGTGGGAAAATTGACCTTTTAAGGGGGGCAAATAAAGAACCCGTCAAGGGGGGCTAATAAAAACCGCAAGGGGCATAAAAGACCTTCAAGGGGGGCATAATAAAGATATCAGGGTGGGTAAAAAAGACCTGT